TTTCATTCCGGTTTCAGCAATCCTTCTCAATTAATAACCCCTCGCAATCGGAACTCCATTGCGGTATTTAAACATAGTCCAGACATAAACCAAAAATCTTCATAACTTTAAAAAAAAAAAAAAATTCCTTTTATTTCCCTCTGTTTTTCCTTTGCAGCACAAGTGTATAATTTTAGAAAACTCCCCTATACCTTGAATCTTAAGCAATTTGGCCAGTGCTCGGTGTTCAACAAATAGCAAACAGCAGACAGCCTACCGCATACCGCATACCGCTTCTACAGAGAAATATTCAGGCAGCTGTAGCATTGGATCTCAACATCGCGCTGCTCTTAAGCGCTGAACGTCGCCTCTCCTCCCCTCCTCACACCGGAGTCTCTCAGTCGCGGGAGCGTGCACAATCACGTGTTACGTCATCACCCCCACCCCAATTACACTCATTTAAAGGAGGTATGGTTTGACTTATCTGCTACATCTAGTTGGAAAGCCCCAGCAAATTTACACTGGATTTGTGGTAAGAAAACTTATTCAGAGTTACCACAAGATTGGGAAGGGGCATGTGTATTAGGTATGCCAAAGCCATCCTTCTTCTTGTTGCCAATTGAGACAGGAGAGACCTTGGGAGTTAAGGTTTACGATGTAAATCATAAAAGAGAGAGAGCATCCTTGAATATAGGTAGCTGGGAAGATAAGTGGCCTCCTCAACATATTATTAATTATTATGGACCTGCTACTTGGGCAGAAGATGGCACTTATGGATATAGAACTCCGATATATATGCTCAGCCGCATTATTAGACTACAGGCGGTAGTTGAGATTATCACTAATGAGACAGCATAAGTGCTTAATCTTCTAGCTAAGCAAAATACCAGGATACAATCAGCCATATACCAGAATAGGCTAGCCCTTGATTACTTACTAGTAGTAGAAGGAGGTGTATGCGGAAAGTTTAATCTAAGTAACTGTTGTCTGCACATAGATGATGAAGGGCAGGCAGTGGCTGAACTTACAAGCCACATGGTTAAAATTGTGCAAACCAACTACTTGGGTTATAACCAGGGCCGGACTGGCCCACCGGGATACCGGGAAATTTCCCGGTGGGCCGTCGGCACCTGGGGCCGGGCAGCCAGCTGGCTCACCTGCGGCCAGGGGAGGGGGAGCAGAGACACAACAGACAGCTCCCCCTGCGGCCGCAAGAACAGCCAGCAAACCCTGCGGCCGCCAAGGGAGCTCCCTCTGCAGCCGCCAGCCGCCAGTCCCCACAGGTAGAAATTGTGTATGTGTGTGTGTGTTTCATTTGTGTGTGTGTCTGTCTGTCTGTCATGGTGTGTGTGTGTGTCTGTCTGTGTCATGGTGTGTGTCTGTCTGTGTCAGCAATGTATGTCTGTGTCATTGTTTGTGTCTCTGTGTCCTGGTGTGTGTGTCACTGACTGTCATGGTGTGTGTGTGTCTGTGTCATTGTGTGTGTCTCTGTGTCATGGTGTGTGTGTCACTGTCTGTCATGGTGTGTGCGTCTGTGTCATGCAATGTGTGTCTGTCATTGTGTGTGTGTGTCTGTGTCACGGTCTGTGTGTGTCATGGTGTGTGTGTGTGTTTGTCTGTGTCATGTAATGTGTGTCTGTCTGTGTCACGGTGTGTGTGTGTCTGTGTCACGGTCTCTCTGTGTCGTGGTGTGTGTGTCTGTGTGTCACGGTCTGTCTGTGTTATGGTGTGTGTGTGTGTCAAGGTGTGTGTGTCTTTTTTAAGGAGTGTGTCTGTCATGGTGTGTGTGTGTGTGTCTGTCTGTGTCATGGTGTGTCTGTCATGGTGTGTGTGTGTTTCTGTCTGTGTCACGGTCTGTCTGTGTCATGGTATGTGTGTGTGTATGTGTGTTTTTACTCACTTTTTTTTTTCCACGTCATGCTGGTCTCCCCTCGCCCTGCCTCTACGGCTGAGATCATCAACCTTGATGATCTCTGCCAATCCGCACTGACACAGGAAGCACCTCTAGTGACCGTCTGAGTGTCTGTCACTAGGAAGCAATGTAAACACTGCCTTTTCTCTTAAAAGTCAGTGTTTACATTGAAAAGCCTGCAGGGACAGGCTATAGACACCAATTAAGCTGTGTGTGCGCGCGCTTGCTTGTGTGTGTGTGTGTGTGTCTGCTACTGAGTGAGCTTGTGTTTTTATGTCAATAACCTTATGTATGAGGCTGTGTATCAACCCGCTTGTGTCAGTGAGATTGTCTGTGTATGCATGTGAGTATGCTTACTGTATAATTAAACGTTTTACTCTGAAAGGACCAATATTTTATATTGGAAAAAGATATATATATATATATATATATATATATATATATATATATATATATATATAAAATATTGCCAGAGATAGCACTCCAAGGACTAATATAAAATATAACTTTTATTACCTCCACTAAAACAACACAAGGTCAACGTTTCAGCTTGATCCCCTCAAGCTTTCATCAGGAGATGTCCTGACAAAAGCTTGAGGGGATCAAGCTGAAACGTTGACCTTGTGTTGTTTTAGTGGAGGTAATAAAAGTTATATTTTATATTAGTCCTTGGAGTGCTATCTCTGGCAATATTTTTTGCATTTTTGGCTGACAAGCACCTGGCATTGAATATTGAATTGGTGGAGTGCAAGATCCGTTTGTTTTTATATATATATATATATATATATATATATATCTCAATCATCTAGGGTTGCAAGACATAGCCTTACATATTACATATGACAATATATGGCGCAATGACTTATGGGGCTGGCATAGATTTTTTTTCCAGGGCTGCTTTGGAATCCCCAGTCCGGCCCTGGTTATAACCATTCCAGACCTGACTCAGGTCTGGAATGGGTATAACCCAAGTAGTTGGTTTGGAAGTTGGTATGAGCAGCTTGGAGGAATTAAGACATTAGTAGGAGGAGTAGAATTTATTATATTTTTTGTGCCTCCTCCTGCCCTGTCTAATTCCACTAGTGGTCAGGTCCCTACGTAGTATTATAGAGAGTACTATAGAGAGAAAGACAGCTGCCCATGTAATGGCTGTCTGGAAGATATGATCCCCTATCCCAAAGAGAATATATTCAGGATGAAGAATGTTGAAGGAGTTTTTAAGATGCTTACAAGGTCTACTCTGGTTCAATGGCTACTTGAGAGATGTAGGTAAAACTGTGATTGGTGATGCATCTGGAATAATGTTATATCAGAGGCATCAAAGGGGGGAATGTGATGGGATTCCAGCTTGGTCAAAATTTAGTAGGCCGAAATCTCCATGTGGCATGTGTATGTTGTGTCAGTTAGTTAGCTACACGTAGCTAGGATACTGTCATCAGTGTACTGAGCATGTGCAGGAATGCAGGAACTGAAATTGCACTTATTTCCTTTGTCTTGGATGAGCCATGCGGTTTGACTAGATGTACAAGTCTATATTCTGCTCACTGATTGGTCTGAGGAATATAGGGGGGTTATACTGTATAGGAGGAGATATGCAGTTAAAAGTCCCAAGCCCCATGTGATGGTCTCTCAGAATTTTGGAACAGGAGTTCATCTGAGACCCGATCGGTAATGTGAATAAAGGCCTCTTACTTCCTGAAGACTTGTTGTAACGGAGCTCCTTGTACTCCGACTGAGTACCCTCCGTTGACGGATGCTCCTAGCGCTTCCTGAGGACTCCAAGTGCTGCAGCAGACACCACAACCACCGCAGACTCCGCAACCGCCGTATCTTGACTGGAGTCTCACCGTCTTCCTTCCACCCTGGATCAGCTTCTGTCCTCCAGGACCGTGTGGGGAAGACCTCTCCTCCAGGAGAGCGTAACAGGAACAGCTCTTAAAAGAGCTAAGTGATTCAATCTCAGGGGAGCATGCAGAGCATAGCAATCCCCAGTGTGATTACAACAGCTCCCTCCAATAACGAGACAAGGCTACGTTTAGAGGGATCAAGAAGAACTGTCAAAACCTTTATTTCCCTTGGGACCAGCCAATAGGGTCACCACAATAACATTGTTGTGAAACCTCAATAAAATCACAAACAGTCAAACCATATTAAGCAACACACAGTGACTTATCACAACACAATGGCACATTTTTAAAGGGGTGGGGGGAGACAATATTTAACAGTAAATATCTCACCTGCCTGCAGAATTAGCAATATGCAAATCTACCCGAATATGCAAATGAACCAGTCTTGCAATTCAGGTAGTGCATATTGCTGTTGCTACCAACAGAGGGCACTAGACAAGCTCCATAGCCAAACCCACCTAGTTGGTAGCAAACCTCAGCAATACAAGAGAGCAGGCAATACATTACACAGTACACACACACTATAAACAATTACATTACACACACCCTGCACCTATAATGGGTACAGGGTGACTAAAACATAAGATAAATAAAGCAGCCTACATAAATAGTCTGTCTGAAGGTAGACTAGGGGCTTTAAAGCCAGATACATGAAAGAGTCATAGTCACAGGGGAGGAGGCTGGCAAGTAGGCCTCTCCAGGACCAAGTGGCGAAGGGCACTTCGTCACACTTGTGTCCATATCTCTGTGTTTGGCTTCTGCATGCTTACACGGTAGCACCTCCACTATTGCTTGTCAATTGCTCCCTTAGGTGCTGGCCACCATCCACGCTGCAGCAGCCCTGAGGGATGACAGGATCACCTCAACCTCCATCCCTCAAGCTGTGTCAATCTGCAGGCCCAGGCAAACAGGAGCAGGAGGACAGGAAGCTGTTTGCTGGCCCGAATCCCAAGTGGCACTGAGGTAAGACCTCCCCCACACTAACTTACACAGAACATAATCCCACCCACACACTCTTTCCCAACCAATCCCATGCATCTATCCCCACACTCCTACATGTGCCCTTGTCCGCTTAGCTGCGCTATCTCCCCAGGGCCTTTAAGGTGGCTTGTTATTTTTAACACCTGGTTTGTAATTTAAGACGCAAAATTTGGAGGCTTGCATACCTCATACAATTCACACATATCCCATTATACATACTGCCATGCTACACAAACACACATATAAATACTGCCCTATTTAAAAAAAACAACATGTATTTCAATATACTCTGAATCCACATATCCTGACACTACACACAGACATACATACACCAGGGCTCCCAGTAAAGATATACACAGAAACATACATTCACTTTACATACAATCAAATACACACCAGGGTCAGACTGGCCCACCGGCATACCGTGAAATTTCCTGGTGGGCCGTCGGCACCTGGGGCCGGACAGACAGCTGTCTGTGCTCGTGGCTGCAGGGGGGAGCTGACTGTTCTGGCGTCCGCAGGGGGGAGCTGGCTCCTGGCTCCTGGCTGTTCTGGCGGCCACAGGGGGGGAGCTGGCTCCTGGCTGTTCTGGCGGCCGCAGGGGGGAGCTGGCTCCTAGCTGTTCTGGCGGCCACAGGGGGAGCTGGCTGTGCTGGCGGCCGCAGGGGAGAGCTGGCTCCTGGCTGTTCTGGCGGCCGCAGGGGGGAGCTGGCTTCTGGCTGTGCTGGTGGCCGCAGGAGGGAGCTGGCTCCTGGCTGTGCTGGCGGCCCCGGGGGGGAGCTGGCTCCTGGCTGTGCTGGCTGCTGCAAGGGGAGCTGGCTGTGCTGGCTCTGCTCGCGCGCTACTTAATGAGACCAGGGCCAGAGCAGGAGCCTCCTCCCCCTGTGTCTGTCATGGTGTGTATGTGTGTCTGTCATGGTGTGTGTGTGTGTGCAGGGCCGCCATCAGGGCATGACAACCGCAACGGTTGTCATGGGCCCGGCGG